AGACACAACTCCAAACATGCTCAACCACCTTGTCTTTGACAAAGGAGCCAGACATGTTCACTGGAAGAAAGCCTCTTCAATAAATGATGCTGGGAAAACTGGCTCGCTACATGCTGAAGACTAAAACTAGAGCCATGTCTATCATCATGCTCTAAATGAAAATCAAAATGGATCAAAGATTTAAATTAAACCTAAAGACTGAATCTACTGGAAGAGAAAGTGGATAGAAATCTCAAAGACAGAAGTGTAGACCGAGAGTTCATGAACAAAAATCTGCCTGGGGAGTTCTTCAAAGAATCAACAACTGGGTCCTCATCTTATTAAAATGCTCTTGCATGTCAAAATAAATCACTAACAGAATCAAAGAAAACTCACAGAGTGGGAAAAATTTTAGCCGACTCCCCCTCAGACAAAGGATTTCTACAGTGAACACACAAAGAACTAAAAAAAAAAAAATCATACCCCCCACAAAGTCAAAGACCCAGTCCAAAGATGGGAGTTTGTGATGCATGCACACTTTCCAGAAGAAGAAACACAAATGGAAAATAAATATGTGAAAGCATATTTAATATCATTGGTCATTTGAGAAATGCAAATTAAAATAACATTGATATTCCACCTCACCCCAGAAAGGAGGGCTATCTCATGAAATTAACCCATAAGAAATGCTGGGGTGGCTGTGAGGGAAAGGAACCCTTCTCCACTCTTGGTGGGAATGCAGACTGGCGCAACAACTGCAGTGGAGATTCCTCAAAAATCTAGAATTAGAGGTTCCGTTCAACCCAGCTCCTCCCCTTCTAGGTATTTTCCCAGAAGAATTAAAAACATCATATCACAGCGATAGATGTGCACCCATGTTTATGGAAGCACAATTTGCTATAGTTAAATATTGGAAACAACCCAGATTCCCTCCAACTGAGGAATCAATAAAATTTTGTAGTACTTTTATACAATGAAGTACTACTTGGCTATAAAGAAGGATATAATTGAGACTTTTATAAGTAAGTGGATGCAACTTGAGATCTTATTTACAAGGGAAATAAATCAGACTCATGTGTACATACATCACATTATCTTCCTAATATAAAAAATTATCAGAGTTAAGAAGATTCAAAATATAAATAGATATTATGAGAGGAAAAGAAACTGCTCAAGAGGAAGGAACAACTGGAATGGGGGAAAGGAGAAGAAATGGAAGGGAATATATATATATATATATATATATATATATATATATATATATTCTAAGATAAATTATACTACTAATTTCTATTAGTTCATTAAAAGTGGTTTGTGCTTACATTGTTTGATTAATCTTTCATGCTTACGTCTTTTAATCTGAGCAACTACTTTGAAGGTGGCAATATGCAATATATTAACTATTGTTAATTTCCTATTATCTTGTTGTAAAACTCTGTCATTGTTTTTATTGGAATTTTTTTTCTCTTTAAAATAAAAAGAAATTTAGAGCTCAATGAGTTTTCATAGAAAAACTGTATTTGCAAAATGTTGTTTCTAGCTTATGAAACTTTAATTTCTAGATGTTTCACATGTGTTACTATTTGTATAGACTCAATTACTAATGAGCTTTTGTTTACAGTTTTCCCTGGCTTTGTCATTGTTTTTCTAAAGCGTTGTTAAGCATTTGCATGTTTTTACAAAAAGATGATAGGCTATGTTAGTAGATGTAGACTGACAGCATATACTTTGAAGTTTTCATCTCTAGATAAATGTCTGCTGTCAGATTGCTTCAATGTTATTTGTCTTCCTTTATAAAAAGAATCCTAAAATATAATTCATATAGTTGACACTTAATTTATTGGGGTTGTTTAAATACATTATTACAATATTCAATATTCAATGTTCTAAATTATCTTATGTACCTTTTATTACTAATTTTACTTAAGATGGAGAGAAAGGTAAACACTTTTCTTTTCCCACCTAGACCCAGGGGCTACCAAACTTCTACCACACATCTCTGTTCAACTATCACTTTCACTGCAATGGCTCCCCAAGACTTTCTTACCTCCTCTTTCCTTTGACATTTATAATTCACTCCCCACAACCTTAGTTACTTAGCAGCTGGCTTGGCACATTGCTTTAACTTCTCCCTTTTGCCCCTGACATGCTTGTTATCTCGAGTAATTATTTTCGGGGTTAAGAGAAACAACGTGTAATGGGCTAGACAAAGGGGGTTAGACAGAGGGGCAATGGCGGCACTTGACGAAGACAGCTGCCTGTGAGGGAGTGTGTTCTCCTACTGACAAAATAAAGCGCAGAAAGATCAAATCCTAAATGATAATAAGCTTCATAGAGGAAAGGGGAAGGGGCCTCCAAAAGGGCCATTATTAATCCATAGGCCTCTTGTCAACGGTGGTTTATTTAAACATCTGTTATACATTTGTGATTTTTAGAGATCAGCCTCAAGGTACTTGGAATTTTCTTTTGAAACAAATTTCTCTCTAGAGTTTGAAACATGTGTTCTTTTAAGCTTAAAAATCTGACCGATCTTTTTAATGAGCTTCTGACTGAACTAAAATATTCTAGATTTAAACTGTGTGTATGTTAATCCCACATGACTCCTTTTATTTTGCAAAGGGCGTGAGAGGAAGAGCTGCTTACGTTGTCAACTTTTCTTTAAATGTGATTTTTATGTGAGTTAAATATTAGCTGGTTAAAACCATATGGATTAAATTTTCCTTAAAAATATGAATAGTTTTTAAATTAAGGAAAGTGAGCACTTGGCAAGCTGCAATTATTTTTTTGTCAAAGCAAAATTATTTGAAAAGTAGTTGCTGCCATTAAAACAATATTCCCAATACAGCTAAATTAACCTTGCCTTTGCCTGTTCACTTTAATTTACTTAGGTTAAGCAAAGTTATAAATCTATTTTAAGATTATGCATTTTGTTAGGAACAAGAATAAAAATTTAGCTGTCAGAATTTATATTGGGAAGATTTTTTTTCTATTACTTTAAAATTACATTCTTAAGAATTGCTCTGGGCAGAATTGCTCTTGTGCAAACCCATGTGGTAATACTTTTTAAGCCTTTTTCATAACTTGTATTCATATCACATTTAAATGCAACCCGTGAACATATGAGTTGTTGCTGCCGTCACAAATATGGACACTATAGAAATGAAAGGATTATGTCTGGCTTCCCCTTGGGATTGAACCCAGGGCATCGTGCACACTCAGGACGCGCTGTACCACTTAGCTACATCCTCAGCCCCAATGTTTTTAAACAGTGGAATATACTTAATGTCTGTATTTGTAAGTTTATTATGTGGGTCACAGAACTCAGGTTATAAGTGAAACCAGTCCATTTTGCTTTCTTCTGAGTTTGTGTAGTTTCCAAAATACAGACATCTTTAGAACAAAACTAGTTCAGCAAAAGTTTCCAATAAACAAAACACAGTTAGGGCTGGAGAGTATAGCAAGGAGCAAAAACAATGCAATAATTTGAATATCGATCTCACGATCCTAGTCAGCCTCAGTCACTAAAGCTTGGGTTCGTGCAGTTAGGCACCATCAAATGAGGAAGCGTTGGCAGGTAGAGCTTGGTATCATTACTTTGTAATGAACTATAAAGAAAGCAATCACAGAATTCCTAGAAAAACACTTATTTAAAAAATGAGGTTACTATTTCTACCTACATAACTTTTGAGTGTGTGTGTGTGTGTGTGTGTGTGTGTGTGTGTGTTTCAGGGAAGGATCTACAGGGTGTTCAGGGTCTCACTACTAGATCAGACTCCTAGTGATCCTCCTTTTTACAGTCTCCCAAGAGCTGGAATTACAGGGGTGCACCACCATGCCCGGTCTCAATCGCCATCTCAGTGCGCCCTGGGAGCAGAGCCAGCATGGCAGGCCCAGAGATTGAACTCCTGGCCCCTGCGCCTGCTTGCAGACACTTTAATATGCTGAGCTATTTGGCCGGCCCTACCTACATAACTTTAGATAGGAATTTCCATCATTTTAAACTTTGTAATCTAACTTAATTTTCATCTCTGGGGATTGACCCAGACTCTTGCACATTTCAAGCAAGCATTTTATCTCTGAGCTCTATCTCTAGCCCTTAAAACAAAATTTTATTCCCCTCCTCCTCGTTATCCCTAGATTTTACTACCACAAGGAATGTCACAATTGGTTCTGCATATGTTTTATCAAAATGATGTAGAATTTTAAAATATCATTATAACAAATTAAGTGCAGTGACAATATATGGGGATACAGTCTATATTTTGTACAAGTAGCTGGAAATGAAAAGTATACTTGCTCTTAGCTTTGAGTACCTACTAGATACAGGAAACTACACCAAATACTTTACATACTATTGCGGTTTCTTAATGTTACCAATAGTCATAAAAGGGTGATATTGTTCATATATTAACATAGGATGGAACTGAGGGCTTTTGTCATAAAATGACAAACCTAGGACTTGAGCACAGTTTTCTGCTTCTAAATAAAGTTTATACTGTATCACGTTAACTCAAATATGTATATCTACACATATTAGTATAGATAGATAGATAGATAGATAGATAGATAGATAGATAGATAGATAGATTTATATGTACATATGATTATAGGCATATACATATACACAAATATATGTTTACATTTAACACATGTTACTGAATTATGCTTCCAAGTGTAATTGTCACTAATATGTCTCTATGAATATTTAATTATCTTTCAATTTCATCACTTTGAGTCCATGCATTTTTTAAAAAGGTCTTGATGGCTTTAAGTACACATTGAAATAGGCCCTCTTCATTTATGTGTTGTAGATTTGTATAGTTTTTGCCTATAAAAATGTGCTCAATACATTGATATTGATGTTATATTTGAAAATAATTTAAATGCCTCTAATAAAACCATAACATTTACCAAGGAAGTTCCTTGTTAGGTAGGTTGCAATTTTTCTTCAAAATATATGTTTGGATATGTGTGAGGCTGAGCTACTAAAGTTCACTCTCTTTTTCCATCTTCTACTACAGGAACATCCATCACTAGGTCAACTTTCAGAAAAGCTAATAGAAAACAACATTAATGTCATTTTTGCAGTTCAAGGAAAACAGTTTCACTGGTATAAGGTATGTTAATTCCCAAAAAATAAAAAATTAGAATATTTGCATTATGGTTGAATTTAGGACACTTTTTGGAATCAGAAATGTCATACTGTGTTAACTAAAACACACTTTGTAATATCTCATGTTAGCACTTAAATAGAAATTTGATCTAGACTCATATCATCTAGAACCAAGTGTGTGTACTAAGTGTGTTTGGGAATTTTGTTCAATACAACATCAACACAGCCTAATATTTGACAATAATGACAAGAGTTTTACAGAGTAAGCACTTTCACACCGCACCTCTGGGCTTCCCATGTCCAGAACTGCTTATATTCTGGTCCATCAGCATGTCCTTATAGAAGGTTGAAGCTGGAGAACATCAGCTTAATTTTCAGTTTCACCAGCACGCCTGGTTTTGGTCTCGGTAAGGTGTTTTCCACCTTTGTCCTAGTTAGGCTGCACTGAGTGAAGAGCTGTGATCTCAGGCCACCTATAAAACACCTAGCATCAATAATGGATATGAGTACCTGACTTTGGGTTGTCCAGGAAAGTTCCAAGAAGGCTACAGAAGTGGGCAGCTAAGCTGATTAAACCCCTTGTGCCTGAGGATCATTTTGGTTGTACCCAGAATCCTTTGGGCCAAGTAGACTTTGCAAATAGGAGAGGTGCCAAGCCGCAGCATCACTCTGCAGATGCTGTGAGAGCAAGGCACAGAACGGCTCTCTTGTGTGCTTGCTGTAGCTTTCTTGGAAGTTCTTTTAGGGTCTCTCTTCCCAGCATTATTCCCGCGATGCTGCAGTTCCCTAACTTCTAGTATGTGTCACTGTTCACTGGTCTACATCTGCCTCCCTCGATTTCTTCCTTCCACCCAGTAAACTGTAGACCTTCTCAATCTCAATCTCCAGGGCCCTCTACTTATTGTTTAAAACTTTAGA